TGTGGCCAGCCCCCGCCGCCCCCGTGCAGTACCCTGGCGATGTCGTTGATCAGCTCCTGGTACCGGTTCTTCGGGTTCACGGTCCCCAGCTCCGTGAGCTTCTTCAAGCCCGCCTGGATCTTGTCCTTCTTCTCCTGCAGGCTGAGGTTGCTGTCTTCCTTGACTGATTTGGACTTTTTCATCTTGTCAGGCGTTTTGGCGTCACGGATCGCGCGTCTCTGCATGGCCCTCTGATGCTCTGCTTCCTACACGTAAGAAGTTCCCGGTAAACGCAGGGCACCAGTCCCACACCTGAATTTACGCAGCTCTAGAGCTGCGTTCTGGGAACGGGGGTGGGGGGTCGGGGACACACACACACACCTAGCTGGCAGCTGACAGAGAAACTGCATGAGGTAGAGGCACATTGCTTTACACCTTTTTTTTAAATTATATTTTTAATCTTTATTCTTTTTTCATTGATTTCAGAGAGGACGAGAGAGGGAGAGAGATGGGGCGGGGGGTGTGTGTGTGGGGGGGAGACACACCTAGCCGGCAGCTGACAGAGAAACTGCACGAGGCAGAGGCACATTGCTTTACACTTTTTTTATATTATATTTTTAATCTTTATTCTTTTTTAATTGATTTCAGAGCGGAGGGAGAGGGAGAGATAGAAACAGCAATGATGAGAATCACTGATCAGCTGCCTCCTGAACTCCCCCTACTGAGGATTGAGCTGGCAACCTGGGCATGTCCCCTTGACTGGAATCGAACCCGGGACCCTTCAGTCCACAGGCCGATGTGCTATCCACTGAGCCAAACAGGCTAGGGCTGCTTTACATCTTTGAATCCCCTGGCTTCTTAGGGCTTCTGTCCTGGACTCTTAGGGACAATTAGGAGATTGGGCGCCACTGGCTACAAAATCCCTCGTTTTTCCCCTATCACCTTTTGAGACATGGGAGCCAGCTCATGTTATTTGAAACGCAGCTCAATAAATGTTGTAACTACACCAGGGCAACGCCAGGGCTCAGTCCATTCTTGCTGATTCCTTTTGCCACCTGTCGGTTCTAAATCACGCTTCGGCCTTACCTCTGCTTTTACACAGGCTGCAAAGGCCAGGATCTTCAAAATACAAAGGCTTTCCCTTCGCTCTTCTAGGTTTCCCAGTCAACACCCCATGTTTGCCCAGCATGTCCCTGCCCGACACGGGACCCACACCTGCTGTTCGATTCACTCCGCACTTTCGTCTTTAACTCTGCAAGCGGCTTCTCCATCTGCCACTCTCGTCACCCATCACCATTCCCCAAATCCTTTTCCTAGTTTCCACCTCGCTCATCTCTGCACTTCCTTCTGGCCCTGAGTAGGGTGCCTGCAAGTGACCGGTGGTCACTTTTCTGTAATGTCCACTCTCAATATTTCAGTGATCACCTCCGTGGTGATGGCTCCCTCATCTCTGTCACCGGGGCTCCGGTGCCAGGCTCTGAGCTGCCTGTACTGAGACGCTCTCGTGGGGAAGGCTTATAATCCCTCCCCAACGGGAGCGTTTCCCTTTCCCATGCTGCCCTTCCCCCGATGGCCAGCAGCACACACTCTGCGGTCAGACAGCTGGGTCCCATCTGGTTCTGCCACTACAGGCAGATCGTAGGCAAGTGAGTTAACCCCTCGGGGCCTCAGTGTCCTCATCTGTACAATGAGGATAACAGACTCACCTCCTGGGGTAAGTGCAAGGATTCCATAGAGGGACACAGGGGAAGGCACCCCACCAGCGTCAGGTCCTCAGTAAAGAGGGGCCCCCTCCCCCCACGTCTAACCTCCTTGCAGGTTAAATAGGATGCAGTTATTGGTGACGTCTCTTGCCCCTTTCTTGCCCCTCACACACATCTCTCTCTTCAGTAATCAATCATAGCAGAGAATTCATTTAAAACGGTGTTTTTTAAACAGTCTTCTGGGCATCCTGAAGGGACTCCCAGAGGTGCTACAGGGTTCCAGAAAGCGGGGCTCCCGGGCCCCATTCCTGCGGCTGTCAGAGTAGCTCCAGTTTCGCCTGCTCTATAAGCTGGGTTTCCAGCCAGACCGTGTGGCTCAGTGGTTGAGCGACAACCCAGGAACCAAGAGGTCACCGGTTTGATTCCTGATCAGGCACATGCCTGGGTTTCGGGCTCGATCCCCAGTAGGGGGCACTCAGGGGGCAGCCAATCAATGATGTTCCTCTCTCACCGATGTTTCTATCTCTCTATCTTCCTCCCTTCCTCTCTCTAAAAATCAATAAGAAGACATATATATTTTTTAAATTGTGCTTCCAAGTAAACTGTCACTTAAGGGAAAGGATTCTTATGTCCAAAATCTGAAAACGAATGACCTGACCTACTTCTCCCCTTTTATGAGAACGTGAAACAGGCGCCTTAAACATGAAGTGACTCATCCACACTCCCCACCGCCAGGCCGCCCCCACCACCGGCCTGGGACCTCATCACACACCTAGATGACTCACCACCATCTGCTCTGATGGCGCTACCCAATCACTCTGCACTGAACGTCCCCAAGGCTCTTCACTCCTCTCTCCAGGGCCAAGTTCCTGGCCAGGTTGTGGTGCTACATACCTTGTCCTCAGGTTTTAGCTCTCCCTGCTCTCCCCGCCCAGGCCTTCCTTCTAGAGATGCAGGCCTGGCCACATCACACCCGCCCTTTGTGCCTCAGTTCCCACGCTCCCCTCCTTTATCCGCCCCCTCCCCCCGGCCTGGACTGCCCGCCCCTCTCGCCTCCATCCCATCCATCCTGAGCATGGCTCCCTCGCCACCTCTTTCTGATGCCTTGCTCTTCCCTCACCTCTTTCCTGAATGTCTAGCTCGGTGGTTCTCAACCTTCTTAATGCTGCGACCCTTTAATACAGTTCCTCATGTTGTGGTGACCCCCAACCATAAAATTATTGTCGTTGCTACTTCATAACTGTAATTTTGCTGCTGTTATGAATCGTAATGTAAATATCTCTGATATGCAGGATGTATTTTCATTGTTACAAACTGAACAGAATTAAGGCATAGTGATTAATCACAAAAACAATGTGTCATTATATATGTGTTTTCCGATGGTCTTAGGCGACCCCTGTGAAAGGGCCGCTGGTTTAAAGGCTCCTTCATCACTTCTGGATCATGAACTTGTGGAGTTCAGGAGCCACATCCTGTACTTTTATTCTACCTATAAGGCACCTAACAAAATTCTAACTGTGTAATTAATACTCAATACACTACCGGGCAGATGCCCTGATTCTGCCTGGAGTTCGATGAACACATGCACATACATGTATGTACAGCATGTACGCGCCAGTGAGCTGCCTCTGGCGTTAGGAGCCAGCAACCTTCTCCACCAGCCTCACCCGCCACCGCCCTCTGTCCACCCCCAGGTCACCACCTGGTGTTACCTGTGTCCCCCCCATCCCGAGAGCACCTCTGCCTGGTTAGGGTCCCTGTTAAACCCCTCAGTTTTACCTGTTCGTTGGTGGCTGGCGTTTCCAGGATTTCAGTCAAGGTCTCCCCTGGCTGGAACCGGATGACGTCCACAATTAAACGCTTTGTGCTGGGAGGAAATGGGGGGAACGTTTAAATATTAGCAGGTGTTCTACTTCCTCTCAATGGACCGACGCGGCAGCGGCATAATGGCCGCCTCCTGGAGGCCCTGCCAGGCAGCTGCTAACACCAGATGCTCCAGACCCCAGACGGAGTCGGGCACCTCTAACAGAGCGGGAGCCAAGGCTGGGGTCTCCAAGAGGGAACGTGAGCATCTTATTGGCAAACAAGGCAGATCCGTCCTCGGCCGAGCGTAACATGTGAAGGGACCGCCATGATGACGGCTCCAAGGCCAAGGTGACCATTTCGGGTATAAGCAAGTGGGCGTGTCCACCGGGGCTGAGGGGTGGCTGGAGTCCGTGGGCTTCGCTCTTCCCACTTCCGACACTCACTTCAGTAAGATGGTTCGCGCGTCCATTTCCGCGTTCTCATCCCCAGGTACGTCGAACTTGTTGGTCAGTGTGAGAGACACTTCCGTCTTAGCCAGCGCCTCCTTGTTGGGGTCGTTTAAACTGCCAGCGCCTTCTCCTAAAGTTTTGGGAGGGTGGGAAGGATCAGTGAAGACAGGAGATATGGGAGAGGAGATAGAAACTCCCAGAAAAGATGAAGCCCGTGTAAGGAGATACTTGAATAAGCCAACATGACCCTGGGGCAGGGCCACCCCTGATTGAGAAATAGAAGAAAACAGGTGATAGAGGCGGGGTCCATAGTAAATTCATTTCATAGACGTCTGACAGTCATTTCAACACCACATTATAACCCTAAACCTAGGCCTAACACTCTGCCTACCCTGGGGATTGGGCCTAAGCTGGCAGTCAGACATCGCTCTCGCAGTTCAGGGCCCCTCGCTCCTTACCACCATCTGCAGCAAGGCAGGAGAGGCTCCTGCCACCGCAGTTGCACTTGCCAGCCATGAGCCCAGCTCAGGGCTTCTGGCTGAGCGGCACTTACCCCGTGGGAGCGCCCAGACCACCAGGGGTCAGGCAGCTCCTGCATTGAGTGTCTGCCCCCCGCCCCCCCTCCCCATCAGTGCGTGTAATAGCAACCGGTTCTTCTGCCATTTGGTCAATTTGCATATCAACCTTTTATTATATAAGATGCACTTTTTTTTTAAGAAATGAAGGTGTGTTTTTTGTTGTTTTTTAATATATCTTTACTGATTTCAGAGAGGAAGGGAGAGGGAGAGAGAGATAGAAACATCAATGATGAGAGAGAATCATTGATCGGCTGCCTCCTGCATGCCCCCCACTGGGGATCGAGCCCGCAACCTGGGCATGTGCCCTGACCGGGAATCGAACCTGGGACCTTTCAGGGCTAGGGCTTATACACACATTTTTAAAAAAACCCTCTACTGGACCTCACTCCTCACAGGCAGGGATCACACGCACCTTCTTCCCTAACGTGTATTCAGAGCCTGAACAGTGCAGGTGCCCATCACAACCCTCCTCTGTCGTGCCCCCTCTTACTTCTGTCAGCGGAGTCGGAACCTTACCTATCAGGGACTCGATGGTGGGCACCTCGCCAAGGTCATCCAGCAGCTCATGGATGGGGTCATTGTGCTCCGGGGCAATGGCGTCCTGGTGATCTAGCAGGAGCTGCACGAACACCAGGGGGTCAACTCAATCTACACACTCGGCCCATCAGCCCCAACCCTGCCCACACTGCCCACAGCACAAAAGAAGGTTAGGTGACAAAGCTCCTGCATTCAAAGGGCAGACAAGCCACTCCGCAGCAAGCCTCCCCAAACCAGCAATACATAAAGCAACACATGCAGTGCAGGGAAGGCCCGTGGAGGGGGCAGGAATGGGGGGAAGAGGATCCAAGAGGGGAGAAGGGGTACGTCTGCAATACTTTCAACAACAGAGATAAATTTACCAAAACACAAAACGAACAAACGAAAAACCATATCCTTGGTGGCTCAGTGGTTGAGTGTCGACCTATGAACCAGGAGGTCACGGTTCAATTCCTGGTCAGGGCACAGGCCCGGGTTGTGGGCTGGATCCCCAGTGTGGGGGGTGCAGGAGGCAGCCCATCAATGATTCGCTCTCATCAATGACGTTTCTAACCCTCTTCCCCTCCCCCTTGTGCTCTAAAATCAATAAAAATGTTTTTTTAAAAAATAGGACTTGAGTAGATATTTCTCCAAAGAGGATATACAAATGGTTAATAAGCTCATAAAAAGATTTTTTTTTCAAAGGCATCACAGTTGGCCTCTGCTGGACGACCTGTGATGTATGGTGGGAAAACACTGGCGCTCTCTCAGCCTTACGAGTGTGAAGGGTTTAAATGTTCCCCACGTAAGAAAGGACCAGGAAGCTCTCAGACTTCAACATCCGAGGTCATCAACGGGCCCTACGACCAGTTCAACTCACTCACAGCCACATGTTTCCTTCCTGTTTCCTGTACACAATACCTTTAATTCAGAGAAAAGTACGCCCTGGCAATGTTGTCACTGGAGGCATTCAAGCAAAGCCGTTAAGATTATTGTCTCAAATGATATCCTCAGAAATGACAATGCCCGAAATTTCATTCACATTTTATATATTTTCCCATTTCCTGTTCTATATGCCACCAAAGGCAAAAGGAAGGAATTAAAGACATTTGGGGGGAAAGGGTGCAGCCAAGGGAAAGTAACTCTAAGGTAACAAAGAGGAAAAAGCTGATATTCTATTCATGTTGGAAAAATTACACAAGGAAAAAGAAGTAAAAGCCGGGGTAAAAAGAAGGAACAGAACACCAGTATGTTATTAAGTCCCCAGGTCAGCACTCCCATGGAGGTTCTGGGGCCCACCCTGGGGGTTCTGGTTCAGGAGGCCTGTGGGGGCCCAGCAACTTCATTTTCTATTTTTAAATATATTTTTATTGATTTCAGAGAAGAAGGGCGAGCGAGAGAGAGAAACACCAATAAGAAATCATTGATCGGCTGCCTCTTGCATGCCCCCCACTGGGATTCGAGCCTGCAACCCAGGCATGTGCCCTGACTGGGAATTGGACCGTGACCTCCTGGTTCACAGGTTGACACTCAACCACTGAGCCATGCCCGCTGGGCTCAGCAGCTTCATTTTTAGCATCTTATTGGCAAACTAGAGGCCTGGTGCATGAGATTCATGCACTGAGGTGGTCGGGTGCGGGGTAGGTCCCTCTGCCCAGCCTGCACCCTCTTACAGTCCAGGACCCCTCGGGTGGGGGGTAGGTCCCTCTGCCCGGCCTGTACCCTCTTACAGTCCAGGACCCCTCGGGGGATATCGGGCCTAAACCGGCAGTCAGACATCCCTCTTGCAGTCCAGGACTCCTCGCTCCTTACCGCCTGCCTGCAGCGGAGGCATGAGAGGCTCCCGCCACTGCCGCTGCACTCACCAGCCATGAGCCTGGCTTCTGACTGGGCAGTGCTCCCCCTGTGGGAGTGCACTGACCACCGGAGGCAGCTCCTGCATGGAGCGTCTGGCCCCTGGTGGTCAGTGCACATCATAGCAACCGGTCGCTCCGCCGGTTTGGTCTATTTGCATATTAGGCTTTTATTATATAGGCTAGGATAAGGCAGATAAGTTTTCTGATTCTGCTGCAGGTGGCCCGGGGGTCACTTTGAAAAGGTAGTAAATAGTGTTAAGAATAACAAACAGACAGAACCTAGAGACAGAACCTAGCAAGAGAACATGGCAAAAGATCCTGTCCAGGACCTAGAGACAGACCCTAGCGAGAGAACCTGGCCACCTGGCTGGAGATCCTAACCAGAACTTTGCTGGAGATCCTGACCAGAACTTGGCTAGAGATCCTGGCTAGGCTGCTGATCAACTGAACACTGTCTCTGTGTCATTCCTTCTTCGCCGACTCCGTCCACACCTTTGGGGACCCCTGGACCTGCTGGGGTTGGACCCCAGCAGTTTATTACAAAATCAATATGAATATCAATTATATTTTCACATAACAATAACAAATAGTTAAAAATGAAAATTTATAAAATGCAGCCATAAACAGCAGGACTTAAAAAAAAAAAAAGAATAACAAACAGTAAGACAGAGGCCATGTCAGTAAACCCACCAAGGGAAGGGAGCTATCTGGCTTCTGGAGGGAGTGAAGCAGCAGCTGGGGGAGGCCATTACGGACCGAGCAATGACATTAACTAGAGAAGAGGTCTCACCGTGTGGGTGTTGATGATTTCCCCGATGGAGATGTAGATCACGGGCTTGGTGAGGGTCACGAGGTCGGAGTATTCGTCCACATTAAACTTATCCTGCAGCTCTGGGACGTCGCAAGCAGTTTGGAAAAACCTCCTGGAGAGAAACACGAGAGCCAGACCCCAGAGGTGACACGTGTGTGAGAAGCAGGCGAGAGAACATCCCACAAACCTCGGGAGCAAAGTGTTCGAGCGGACGCCAGTCCAGACAGCTGATTCCGGAGAAAGTGCCTTGGGTTCCCCGTGCCCGGCAGCCTTGGGCCGGGGGCTCCATGCACTTCTCTCCCCGCCCAGGTTTAGCTCCACCCACAGGAACCACTCAACCAAACACCTGTGTCACCGGGAGAACCAACTTTAAGTCGATGCCCTGAACTCACAACTGAATGTTTAATTTACAGATAGTAAAAGTGCTCTCCAGCCCAGCTGGCGTGGCTCAGTGGATAGAGCACCAAGGGAGAGAGAGCAGGGTCCCGGGTTCACATCTGGTCAAGGACACATGCCCGGGTTGCGGGCTTGATCCCCAGTAGGGGGTTA